AGGAGGTAGATGATAAAAAGCAATGGCCCCAGGACAGAGCCCTGGGGCACACCGCTCGTGACAGTGGAGAGTTTCGATTTATGATTTTGGAGTTGGACAAATTGAGAATGCTCAGAAAGGTATGAGGTGAACCATGAGTGTACTGTATTGCATAAGCCAATGGAGGTGAGCTGGTTGAGGAGGATTGGATGTGAGATTGTGTCAAAAGCAGCTGTGAGATCCAGGAGAATGAGTATGGTTAGGAGTCCAGAGTCTGCTGCTAAAAGAAGGTAATTTGTTATTTTGATTAATGCTGTTTCAGTGCTATGGGATGAACAAAACATTTTTCATAAAGATTATTGTAAGTGAGATGGTTTTGGATCTGTGAGGCAACAGACTTTTCCAGAATCTTGCTAATGAACGGGAGGGTGGATATTGGTCTAACATTTTTGAAATCGGTCTAATCAGAGCCAGCTTTTTTGGGAATGGTCGTTATAACTGCTGTTTTGAGAAGAGGTGGGAGAGAGTCAGTGGTGAGGGATGCATAATTTATATTGGTAATGAGGGGAGAGAGCGGTGAAAGACAGGATTTCACAAGATTAGTTGACAGGGGATCAAGTATGCAGGTAGATGATTTCGATTTGGATATCAGAGAGTTTAATTCCGGCACAGTTGGAAGTTGGAACGTGGAAAGAGTTGAGGGATTGGTCAGGAATAGGGATGAACAGTGAGTGCAGACGGATGGATCACATGAAAAGAGTTGTTGATGGATATTAATTATTTTAGAATTGAATTTATTGCAAAGAGAGGGTGAGTGTGTGTTGGCATTGGATGTGTCAAGTGGGTGTAGAATGTTGCGCATAGAAGAGAAGAGTGCTCTGGAGTTGCCTGTATTGGTATTTATAATTGATGCAAGGTAGTTAGACTTAGTATTGGCAATAGTGTTCTTGTAAGTGATTAGATGGGAATGATACATTTCCTTATGTATGGACAGTCCAGTTTTGCGACACAGACGCTCAAGACGGCGACCAATAGATTTCAGTTCATGCAGCTCTTGAGTAAACCATGGCGAAGAGCGGGAGAAGGATACAGTTCTTGTTTTTAGTGGTGCTAAGTTCGTTATTATAAAATGAGGTGAGTTCCTGTGGAGTGACCATGTTATCTCGGCTTGGGAGATTATTTATTTCTGTAGTAAGTGATGAGAGATTAATGTTTTTATATTTCTGAATGTGATCTGACGGGTTGAGGATGTTTTGAACAGTAGTAGGTTGAGACCAAATGAAATAAGCTTGTGGTCAGAAACCGGGATGTCCAGAAAAGAGGTGTTAATGGGGGAGACGCCAGTGCAGAAAATCTGATCCAGAATATGGCCTTTTGCATGTGTGGGAGAGTTTACGTGTTGAGATAATGAGAAACTGTCCAGGCAGGAAGAAAAATCTTTGGTGGTTGTGTTGTTTACATTGTCCATATGGATATTGATGTCACCAACCAAAATGACATTTGAGGACAGAGAGCAGACTGTGCCTAAAAATTCAGTAAAATCAGTTAAAAACTCAGGATTAGGCTGCTAGGATTGTAGGAATGCGGCCTTTGATCTGAATGACAAGTGATTCAAATGAGCTATAGACCGGTGTAGTGGCTGTAGTTGCTCTGTACCTCTCGTTGTACACTATCGCAAGACCACCCCGCGTCCAGAGGCACGGGCTTGACAGATGTAAACAAACCCATGTGGTGTCATAGCGTTGAGATTCAGAAGAAGCAGTGTAGTTTCGACCGTGTCTTTTGGGGGGATCTCCTCAGGGTCCACCCTGTATGACCGGAGTCAGAGTTGTGTTTGCATCACAAGCAGTAAGTCTGACCTGCTCAATTTTGACATATTAAATTCAAAAGGCTATAAATTAAAAATGATAAGAGATAGAGGGTTTCTGTAAATTGGAGAAATATTGAGGATGGCCAAAGTTTATGTTGGAATGAAATATACCCATTCTTTTTAACTTAGTATGATGGCGGTGGCAATCATGGATTATAGAATTTTCATGAAATGTTTTTATTTTTTTATGGCGTATGACACACACCACAGCTACATTGGCGTCATATGGAATTTTGTGACACAAGAAAAAACAAATATCGGAATGTACAAATAAAGTTGATAGCTGGATCCAAAGGGACTGAGCTTCACAACGAGGTATGGCATGACTGTATTGGCTCAGCTGAAGTTGGCTGGATGACACTTAAAGTACCATTTTACCCTCGTGCCTAGATAAAAGTATACCCACATCTGAAGGGACTCTTATACAAAGACAACATTGAATTTATGTATAGTTATTTCTTTTATTGTAAATGTGATGGAGATGTAAAATATAAACTTACATAAACATTCACAAAAATGTCCATATTATTCCTGATAAACCGAATAAACCAGTACCAACGATTAGGCAGCAGTGGCACCAGTAAAACCCATACACCGATCCACTAGTAGAATCATTTAACAGCGAGAGGCGATTGTCAAAAAGTACAGTTAATAAAGTTATGATTCGATTGTCTAATGATTGTAAGCTTCCTTGAGATAGTTTGTAGATTGCTCCCAAAAAACAAGGACCAGTAACATACATTCTTGATTATATTTGAAACAACAAAGACACTGAAATTGTTTTAATTGAAGTTAGAAGTTGTTTGTGTTGCTGTGATCATGTTTTCAGATCTAAGACGTCATTTTTCATTTCATGTAAAATGACGTCTGAAGACTTTTGATGGCGTCTTCTTTCCCAATGGACTTCCATGGTTTTGGAATGTCTGCAGGTTTTGCTTTGTATGCTTCTGCAAAGTTATTATTGAACTTTATCAAAACATATTTCCAGTAATTGGAGGCTTCAAGACTGTCATCTGGAGATATTTTCCAGTCTGGATATATCTCTCTGTATTTCTTGTAAGGGTGCAAGTTCCAATCAGTGGCTGAACACTGAAATTTTATATCACTTTGAACACGAGTTGTGCATATGTCACATATGAGTTTTTCTGAATAAACATTTCTGTATCCACCCAGCCCCTGTGACTGATGGAGAGAGGCCCAGTGCTCTGTGTGACCTTTGGCTCCAGCTTCACATGGTGCTTTACAAAAGGGGCACTGCTGACCACACCCGATCATCCTGTCAGAAAGCTCTTGATGAGGCTTCAGACTCAGTTGTTTGAGTTTAGCATCAATCTCAGTTTCTTCAAACTTGTTTTTTAGAGTCTGGATCATGTCAGACACACACTTTGTGAGCCAATGTGCGAACTGTTCTTGATCAGCATTGTTTAAGATCATAAAAGCTCCCAGTGCATCTTGGGAAATCACCAGTTTACCCATTAGATCTTTACACATAACATCAATAAAATCTTTCAAAGTGGCATTTTCTGTTGAGGCTTTCTTTATGGCACTAGTTATGTCTCCCAAGCATTTCTGAAGATGTTTATTCTCAAGTTCTGATATTTGTTCTTTGTTTGAAAAGTGTTCCACTATTTTCTGACTTATCCATCCTTTAACAAAGACCTCATAATTGCAAATGTAGTCATAATATCTTTCAAATTGCTCATTTGTGATGAGGTCGAGTAACACATGGTACTGGAAAGCTGTCCGTGTGCTGAACTGATGACAAGTCTGCATTTCACTGACGATATCAGGCCCCAGAGAGCGACTCACGAAGCGTTCCACGGCAGGTCTCAGGCACAGATCTGTGAATTCATTTGCCTTTTTTTGACATTGGTCTTTTTCATTAAATACATCTTTAAAATCAGCACAGAACTTTTCTTTGTTATTGTTCAGACATACGAAAGGATCGTTCTCATGCAGAAAATGCTCATGCATTTCCTGAAACCTTCTGGCTGCATATCCACAGATGTGCAGTTTTAGTGAAACCTCAAAGTCTATCTCAATGCGAACATGACGACTACAATTCAACTTATAATCAATCATTCTGAGGATCTCTTGGATGTAGGTGTCGTGATAATCTGTTCCCATTTCCAGTTTTTCTGAGATAAGATCTTGGCAAACAGTAATAGTGCTGTCCGCCAACTTCTGAGCAGCCTTTATATTATCCTCAAAGTTCAACCATTTTGCAGCTTTATTTTTCATTCTTTCCAATTTACCCACAGGCTTCACAACAAAATCCTCTAAACCACAATTGTGTAGTTTATTTTCTGAGACTAATTCACTTGCATAACTGCCTCTGTGTGAGATGTTGGCTCTCAGGTGGTGAGATATTTGTACAAAAACATTTTTAGTTTTTAGGAAAGACACAGATTCCTTCATCTTTGTCACAGTCGTCTCCCACATTTTGTTGAATTCTGAATCTAGCTCTTCATCCGTCAATGTGTGTTTTTCTTTTCTGCACTTGTCAATCAAGGCACACACTCTTTCTTCTAAGTCTCTTGTGTGGTTTTCTTTAATTTTGTCAACATTTTCCATGGCTTGCTTGATTTCTGCGGTCGCTGTGAGCTGATTTATGACGGAGCCTTCTATTTCCCTTCGACATATTTTCGCACTGTTGAAAAATTGCTCCTTGTATCCTTCAACCAGATAAACATGTCCTTCTGTTTGCTTGAAATAATCTTTGAGGTTATCAAGAATAACTGTTTCCCATTTGCACAATTCTGTTTGAGCCTCCAGTTTTAGATCTGCAAGGACTTGGCCAATATCAGAGTTTTCAGCCACTACGCCAATGTTGCAAATTTGTGTCTCTGCATTTGTAACCCAAGAAAACATGGCCTTCTTAAACTCCCATTCCCATTTGTTGTATTCTGTGCATAGTCTCGCGTATGCATCAGCCACAAGGCTGTTTCTGAAGCTGAAGATGAAGTTTTCGTGCTTCACTGCGTTCCACAGACTTTCTATCCACTCACGAAACTCCAATATATCAGTGACAGATGATCCACATTTTTCCAAATTGTGCACAACATTTTTCTTGAGTTCTTGGACTGCTTCACTGTATCCTACATTGACTGGGGCCATTGGGGGGCTTCCATTCCACAGTCCAGGGATGTACCAGTTTCCAGTGTCGGGGTCATAGTCCATGACATCAGTGAAGCTCTTATTCTCTTCTTTTCTCTCCATCTTAGCTGCAGCTTGAGTCATCTCATTTAACTGCTGCAAGAGCAGTTTTCTGTCTCTGAGGTTCTTGTCATGAGCTGAAACATCTGAAACATTCTGGTGAACAAACTGACATCTGCGTTTTTTACCCACTTCTTTCATTCTGAGGAAAGCGTGCACAACTATCTGCAGGATGTCTTTCATGTCTGTAGAATTCTCCATAGCAATATTGATAATGGTGATGTCACTCAATCCAACCACAAGGGTTGCTAGCTCGTTGTCGTGCTCGTGACTATTGTCCAGTTCTGGAGTCTAGAGTTCTGGAGACTTGAGGCCCTCGGTGTCGATGATCACTAAGAAGTCGCAGTTCAGAGAAGCTTTCATATCTTCACTGACTCTGATGAGTAACATAAAGGCGCCTCTCGTGCATCGGCCACTGCTCACTGCAAACTGCACTCCAAACATGGTGTTGAGGAGAGTGGACTTCCCTGTGCTCTGGACTCCGAGGACTGTGACCACCAGAATCTTGTTGTTAGGAGACACCAGGTCATGGAGCTGGGTCAGAACATCACTCACCCATCTGAGAGGGATGTTGGAGGCATCTCCATCCACCAGCTCCAGAGGAAAACCATCAATCAGAAGCTGTGCACACAGTTTGGGAAGGTGCTGCAGTTGCTGGCGTGAAGGGTCTTCTTCTGGAAGAGACAATGAAGCCTCGTAGAGTTGACCCATTTCCCTGAAGAAGTGTTCCGTTCCTAAAGAACTGTTGGAGAGTTGTGTGTCAATCTCTTTTATTTCACTGTTGTTAGAAGCCTTTGACTTCTCTTTATATTGCTCTCTGAGCCATGACAATTTATTACGAGAAACATTGTCAAGATTTATTCTCAGCCACTTCAGGAAAAAGCACCTTTCATTGTCTGGGCTGCAGATGCCAGTGAGGAAGATGTTCATACTTTGTGAAATACCATAAGAGTTTTGTTTCTGACGGTGCTCTTTTATTTGTCCATCAAGATTAGACTTGTACTCATCTATGCTCTCAGAACCAGCTTTTCTGAGCCTGCATTGTTCCTTCTCCAAAGAAGTAACGTCTTTCCAAATCTGCCCTTGCATGGGCAGCTGGGTTTCCTTGAACGTCATCATATCTTGGATTTCTGCTGTGATTGCATCAGCATTTAGCTTTGCTCTCTGACACTCAGGACTGTCTTCATCAACATGAACTCCCAATTCATGAGCTATGCTCGTCATCTGCTCCATCTGAATTCTCAGTTTTGAGTTTTCAATGGCTCCTTTCATAGTTCTCTGTATTTTCTCAACAAAGTCTGCATCATTCATTTGTTTAGTTTTCATAATGATGCTATTGTTGGTTAGGCCTAACTCTGTTGCAATGTTATGTAATGTTTTCATACATATTTTACCACATTGATGGTTACCGACCAGAAATATCTCTGCCTTGCTTTTCAACATTTCCATTTGCTTCCATTCATATTCTAAAGAATCGTAAAACACAAAAACTGCTGAAGATGCCTGACATAGAAAGGAAAACTGAGTTTCAAAGCTGGTAATATCTCCACGGAGGTTAGCGACTGCCACTGGTTCATCAAAAATGTCAATGTTTTTATTTCCACAGGGAAGGTACCAAGTAAGTTCAGCGAGTCCATTGGAGATTATTCTCGGGTTGTCACCACACTGCATGTCGCGGTGCACAAAGGTGTCGTGGTATTGCTGGGAGTTGCTCAGGAGCTTGTTTAGAATCTCAGACTTGGACAAAGAGCATTCACCAAGTCTCACGAACGAGATCATTGGGATTTCAGAGTTTACGACACGTTCTTCTTTGAAGCCCTTGGATTCAGAGAGAGAATTAGGTCTGTACTTTTTGACAATGTCTCTCAAAGCCCACAGCATCAGTGTGCACTGGTTTGTGTCACAGTTTGGAAGCAGCAGAGGAACAGCAAACTGACACATGGACATTTTGAGTGACAGTTCCTGCTGCACAAAGCTATCAGAGCACAGAAACAGAGCTGTTATTATGTCAAGAGGGTTAATGGTGCAAGCAGAGGTTAAACTCCTCAAGACATTTTCAAGATCTAAGATCGAGATGTCAGAACTTTCACCAAAGTTTGCTTCACTTAAAGTACATTTCACATTTCTCGCTTTGACATTTACCATCATCAGCTTTTTAAGAAAATACCATGCAACATCTTTGTTCGACATCACATTGTTTTCAGTCATCGTCTTCTCATCGATTTCCAGAACCTTATTGAGACAAAGCTTCTCTTTGTAATGTATCTTCAAATCCAAATCCTCAAGTACAGACTCCACATATGTTTCTGTGGAAACAAGTTTAAGGATTATGTTGAAATCTAATTGTACTGCAGTTGTCCGAGTTTAAAGATGGAGACTTACTTGTGTGAGTGGAGGTCTCTGCAGCCTCACTCTGGAGCCTCTGGAGCTGTGCACACACAGAGAACAGGTACTGCTGTCCCGGCCTCAGGTCTCTGATGGTCACACTGGTTTCCTCAGTTTGGAATTCCTTTACCACATCTTCTCCACTGGAGCTGGTCACTGAGTAGTTCTGCACTTTACCAGCAGGGGGCTCCCAGGACAGAGTCACACTGTCAGTTCTGATGTCACTTACTGATAACAATTGAGGAGGCATTGGTGCTGCAGAGGTGTTAAATCCAGTTAATGAGAATACTTCTAATAATAAACTAACTGTGGATCTTATACTGACCTGTGATGACATGAACACAGGTCTGTGAGCTCTGTATCCTCCGTGTGATGGTGAAGGTGTAGTCTGTCCCAGGACACAGCCCTGTGATGTCCACAGAAGGGGAGTCTCTGTGGACCACTGTGCCCCTCTGTTCTGCAGCACTGTACTTGATCACCAGGTCGAATGTTTGAGGAGACGGATGTGGCTCCACAGTGAAGGAAACTGCATCAGGACCAACGCAGAGCACTGTCACCTTTGGTTTAGGGATCTCTGCAAATTACAAGACATCAGTTTATGTAGAGCTACACAGAGGTAGAAGCACAGCAGAGAGAAAACACATGACTAAACTCTCACCAGCGGCTCTGGTTCTCGGTCCTCAGAGCTCTGGGTTCGTTCTATTTACCACTCGTATATAATGGCCAGATCTGTGTAGTGTTGACTAGTATTTACCCCTGAGCTGTGGATGTCTGGAGCATTGGTCTTGGAACTTAATGGTTGTTGGTTCGATCCCCCCACAACTCATGTCATCTGCTCCCATTAAAGTTTGCTATCGTTCTTGGGCAACTGGTGTTTGGGTGGCAGCTGTCTGACAGATATGGACTAATAAAGGGGATGAAAAATTCCCAGATGGATTGAAGAGAGATGTTCTGGGTTGCTTTGGACATATTTGTATAACCTAACCAATAACCATCTTCACTTCTGATCACTGCATGAAAAGTGTGATTTTCGTAACGAAATACTTTGCCTGAAGTCGACGGTGCAGTCTAGTGGAATGTGAAGAGAGGACTCTTTTGAATGTACGGTAAGTGTTAAGATACGTTGTTCATTTTTATAAACGTATATAGCTAAAAAAGTGTGTTAAGAACGTGTACACATTCGACTATATTATCTTATAAAACGTGTGTGTTTGACCAGCTCAGCGGTGAATGCAGTGACTGTGGCCGTGTTCAGAGCCGTTCTCCCGGAGGCCTGAGAGCGCTCTGTCCGGCCTCCGGGAGTTTACTGAGGACAGCGGTGAATGTAGCTATTAGTAGCATATTCCCGGCCCTAACTACGCGGGCCGCCGCAAGGAAGCTCCGCTGTGATTGCTCCGTGTGTGATAACTTTCTGTGAAGCATGGAGCTGCAGGAGCATGGACGAGGCGCTCAGAGCAGACTGCTTCGAAAGAACCGAAGGAAAAGCAGTTTGGGCTCATGGCAGAGCCTGATATATGCGGAGACTGTGGACAAGAGTTCTGTGGAATATCTAACATATATCATTTGTTTTGCACTGTTCCTGTCTTTGTTTGAATCTGCACTCGTAGGTTATTGCATCTGTTCCATTCCTCCTTCACTTGTAAATACTAGTTCATGTTTGTCTCAGATACCACTTAATGTTTTGCTGTTTGTGCTGAATACTATTTAACAATAACCATGTTTCCAACAAGGTCTGTGTTTTGAAGAGAATGTTGTAATCCCACACCCAACCACGTGATGGCGATCTCACAGGAGTTGCCTGAAAAACAAAAGTTGCTACTTTCTCCTCTTCAGAACAAGAACAATAGCAAACCAAGCCGTTTGAGATCATTACATGTGTTTCTACTGTAGGTTTATGTGACATTTCTAAACTCATCGTTTCAACTCATTTAACTGTGATGTTGTGAATAAAGACACAGTTCTTGTTTGAAACATGGTAATTATTAAATAGTATTCAGTACAAACAGCAAAACTGGTAAATATGAGACAAACATGAACTATTTACAAGTGAGGGAGGAATGGAACAGACGCAATAGGCTCAGATTCAAACAAGACAGGAACAGTGCAAAAGAAACGACAACACAGTTCATAAGTTATATTTAACATATAAGTTATATGTTAGATATGCCACAGAACTCTAGTCCACAGTCCCCGTGTATATCAGGCTCTGGCATAAACCCAAACTGCTTTTCCTTTGGAGCAGACTGCTTCATGCTTCGAAGCAAAAGCAGTTTGGGCCTCGTCCATGTTCCAGCAGCCGCTCCATGCTTCCCAGACAGTAATCACACACGGACTAATCACAGCGGAGCTTCCTTGAAGCGGTCAGGTACCTCTTACCCCTGCCTCAACAAAGCCTTTTTCACCAGTTCAGCTGAAAATGTTACAATCGAACGCTAAGACTTTCACTTTTATGATTGTACTTTTTCATCTCATTTGTCACTTTTGTCTTTCTCTTCATTTTTTTGTTTTTTGTTTTTGTCACTTCAAGCCAGAAATATGGTAAATAAAGTCCATTGCTTGATAATGTTATTGAATGAATCTAGACCTCCTTTAAACACATTTGAACAAAAATCATGTGATATTGTTTTATATATATTGATAATTCTTTTTTTGCATACAGCGTGTTGCAGTCCGACACCAAGAAATTGTCAATTCTGCTCTACCTGTGGAAAATGTCAAAGCGCGCTGGCCAGCACTTTATACAGAGAGACAGGTGTGTACACATTTTTTACAACTATGCAAGTGTTTTATGGTTTTTTTTTTTTTTTTTGCAGGTCCTGGCAGATTTTAACCAGATCACCAGCTCCAAACTGAGCAATGATTTTGTTGAAGCATTGGATTGCCTAACGGCACAGTTCATCAAGCTCTTTAAGGCCAAAAGGGGGACTGCTGGCGCTAAGCTTTCCAAGATTGTCCGGCACCTCGATTCCTGTGTAAGTTCATAAAGCAATAACAAAAAGAAATGACATATGATTGTGTTTGGTGTTGTAATGCACATATGTGGAGCAGAGGAGATGGGGAAAAGGAGAAAGGTAAGTACATCCCCCTCCATTTGTCTTGTCTGTCAGTACAGTATTTTACTCCTAAGTACAATTATGAAAAAGACACAACAAGCAGTGACACTTGTCTTACTCAGTACTGCTTTAACAACCTTAACCTCCACCTGAAAAAGCAATTCAAATAATACAGGAAAAAAAAACAGTACAAGAAAGAAAGAGAGAAAAAAGAAACTAAAACTTGAAGCTGTTACATCTGCTGTAACCTTTTGGCTAACTAGCATACAGGCCTCTGTTAGCCAACTTCAGGGAAAAGTTGAGCTACTGACGAATAAATGTGACGAACTAGAGGGACGCTCCAGACTCAATAATATCCGAATTGTTGGTGTTGTTGAAGGCACAGAGGGCCCTCGCCCAACAGAATTTGTGGCCGATTTTCTTCACAATCTACTTCGCCTCAATGCTAAACCTATCCTCGATCGGGCGCATCGGACTCTGCGGCCCAGACCCGGAGACGGAGCCCCGCCGCGGCCCTTCGTAGTTCGTGTCAACCAGTTCCAGACAAGGAATGAAATTCTCCGCAAAGCCCGTGAGTCACCTGCCCTGAACTATCAGGGAAAACGTGTTTATTTTCCCTGATTTTACGGCCATTGTGGCAAAGAAGCGCGTTGCATTCAACGATGTGAAGAAAGAACTTCACTCCTGTCCAGGGATAAAGTTTGGACTTTTCTTCCCAGCATCACTGAGAATAACACTTCCCAATGGACAGCTTCGCACGTTTGACAGTCCTGATTTGGCTATGGACTTTGTGAAGAAAAACTTCAAGACCATGGTGGACCCACAGTCTGTTTAAACGACCTGTTTTGATGGACAAACTCTACATTTGATAATGAGCAGGTTTGGTTCTATTCATTGGTGCAATAATTTGTTCTCTTCTAGTTAAAATGTGGTGTGATATTACGTTTACAATGTGTACATGCACGGGTGCTCGGACTTTTTTCTTTTGAGCAATATCCCAATCTATTTTTTTTTTGGTTGGTGTGTTTATTTTATTATTACTATTATTGTGTTCTGGGTTAGTAAATACATCAGTAAGCACTGAAGGTATATACATTTGGACAATGCAAATATTATATACTTTTTTCTGTTCCATTCCACCAGAGAGTTACACTGTTTAGGTGTTTTTTTTTTTTTACTCTCCTTGCCTTTGTTAGGCCTGGTACTTTTTTCTCTAGGGTAGATGGGGTCGCGTGTCTGGTTTCAGAAGACACTTCTGCAATTTTTTTGTGGGGAGGTGGGTGGGGGGTTTGGGTATGTTCTGTCCCCTTTTTGTTTTTTTTTTTTGTTTTGTTTTTACAGGTGTTCGGGAGATACTGCTTTGAGATCCCCTAAGAGATCTTAGTCATGGCACACAATTCATCACCAGCTTCAAGACAAGAGATTCGTTTTACAAGTTTTAATTGCAAAGGGCTCAACAACCCATTGAAACGTAGTAAGGTATTACACCACATTCAACAACTTGGGGCTCATGTTATGTACTTGCAAGAAACTCACTTGAAAAACATAGACCATTTAAAATTAAAAAAGAATTGGATAAGTAATATATATCATTCATCTTTTAATAGTAAATCTAGAGGTGTAGCAATTCTTATACGGAAATCTGTTCCATTTGTGTACTTACAATCAATTTCCGATCCGAATGGTAGATATATAATTATTACTTGTACCATCAACAATATTCCCTTAGCTTTAGTAAATGTTTATGCTCCAAATTATGATGACGTAGATTTTTTTCAAACGACTAATTGCAAAACTCCCTAATATGTCAATTTATTGGCTAGTGATGGCGGGTGATTTTAACTGTTGGCAAGATGTGGACTTAGACCACATCCAATAAAACCGCTAGCCTTTCCCGTGCAGCAAAAGTACTGAATTCCTTTACCAAAGAATTTTCCCTAACGGATCCTTGGCGCTTTTTAAAGCCTCAACAAAAAGTATATTCTTTTTTTTCGCCGGTTCACCATACTTTTACTCGCATCGACTTCTTTTTACTTGATAACAGATCTTTATCCTCTTTAATGGATTGCAGGTATGATGCAATTGTCCTATCTGATCATGCTCCAGTTTCAATAAATATTCGATTTCAGTCACAATCCGGTCGCCCATTGTGGCGTCTTAACTCTCAACTTCTAGCTAATGAAAACTTTGTTTCTTTTATTGAGCGACAAATTGATTTATTTTGATCAAATAATGAAAGCTCCAATATCTCGGCCTCCATTTTGTGGGAGACCTTAAAGGCCTATATTAGAGGTGAAATAATTTCATTTACAAAATACGAGCACAAACTTAGAAATGAGAAGCTTTTAAATTTGACTTGCCGTATTTCTCAATTGGACAGTCTGTATGCAACTTCTCCGAACCCAAATCTTTACAAGGGAACGTATTATATTACAGTCAGAGTTTGATATTTTAATGACTAAACACACTACTGATCTGCTGCTTCGATCTGGTGCTCAGTTCTTTGAACATGGGGACAAAG